CACAGGAAATGGCTCTCAAGTGAGTTAAAGATAGCCCAAGATAAACTGTAATAGGCTCTGGAACTGCAACATTCCAAATCTCCAAGGTCTTTGAAATTCTAGTCAGTCCATCAGCATTTGTAGACACAGCTTCTTTCCAGGAATTTTCATTCACACTGTGAATAGAAGACCCAAAGAACAGTATGAACCACCCATTTTTATGCCTAGGCATATGAGGCTGGTCTTCCCCCTCCCCTTTCCCCTTTTAATGATCCCTTTCCCTAATTTAAAAACAAAAACAAAATACCCCTCTGCTTGAACCCTACCAGATGGCGTCTTTCTCTTGTTCACTGCTTTTCTTAAATTACAACAATATCTAATGTCTTCTTAATCTATGCTATTTTCCATATGGAAATCCAAATTTAAAATGTATTTGCTGTTGCTTCAACTTGGGTGAAGAAACTCTGCAATGGAGAAGGATGAGGATGCTAGGCTCACATAATGTAGATGGCCTGAGAAGAAAGAGTAGGAAAAACTGATTTCACACTGTCATATGGCAGCTCATGACAGGACCTTAATTCTCTGGGTAGAGTAACTCATGTCTCAGCACTCAGGGGCTGAGGTTGGGGGAACAACACACATTTGGATAGTGTGATTTCCAGAAAGACTTAGAGGTCAGCTTGGGCATAGCAAAGCCCTGTCTGAGAATAAACACCCACAAAAGGAGGATAATAACTAAGGATGATGACAACTCAGAAGGAGGAGGTGCAAGGAGATCTCGGAGAACCAGCTCATCGTCCGCCTTTCTCGATCTCTTTGTGTGGTACTGGGGGTTGAACCCAGGGTATTTAATACCCTCAGAAAATATTTCACCACTGAGCTGGCTTGAACTCACTGAGTCTAAAACATATGTGATATCATTTTTGTTTTTGGACACGTACTTAACAGTTTCTCTTATTCACCTGTTAGTTGTCATCGATTAACTATGACAAAGCAGAGTTTTCATTTCCAATCATTTTCCCTCAAGTTTTGACATCATTGAGAAAGTTATCTTTCATAACCATTTTAAGAGTTCTGTTTGATGTTTTCCTGTCTAGGCTATTACTTTCATTTGGAGGGGGTTTGACACAGAAGCCTCCTACTTCACAACTGTAAATCTACAGTCATCTATACCACTGCAGAAATAACTTCCTTGCACTTGATAGTTAAGAGGAGCACAGATTGTGAACTTTTATTGACATGGTTTCTGGTGACAGCACAGACCATATAGACACCGACAAGGTCTCCAATGTCAGCATGTGCCAGTGGAGACCATGGACATCAACCATACATAAATTGAAATGCTGTTTGCCATGCATATATCAAACAAATGGCAAATAAAGTCATTTTACCCAAAGGCAAACCTTCTCTGTTTAAGACTGGAATGGCACAAGGCATAATTCTTTGTCAATTCATACAATAATCACATTCCTGACCATTCTGTATTATGTTAAAGAAAAAAAAAGTCATGCAAAAATTACCTCCTAAGAAAGACAGTCGGGCTTTGGGACAATCCAATTCTTTGCGAGTTACTTCCCTAAAGAAATGTGGTATATATCATATCTAGTACCTGATCACTAAAAGGCAGTATCACCTCAATAAATAGACTGGGAGATAGCCATTTCTCCACAGGCAATTTACAATCATTTAGTGGCATTGCAAAAGTAATCAGTAGATGGCAGCACATACCAGTATATTAAATGGTCTGGTGCAGTAATCAGGGTTAAAAAGGAGAAAACAGTTTCTTTTATAATGTTTCCTTACAAAAAAGACAAATCAACACAATAAAATACCAAAATACCACACCATGAAGGCACGGATGTCTTATTTTTCACTATCTTTACAGTAAGTTTTTATTTCCTGCCATTTGTCTTTTGTTTGTTGTAATATACAGGTTCTCAGGTCTCACATAAGAGCCTATTCGTTTTGGCAGATAAACCAACATCCTTGGCCATGCTAGGCAAGTTCTTTGTCACTAAAGATGTATTTCCAGACCTTACCATCATCTTGCTAAAGATGAGCCCCTTCTCACATCTAGCAACAACAACAACAACAACAAAAAAAAATGTTTGGAGAGGATAATACTCAGCCCTAAGTGGGATGTCTCCATCAAGCCATCAAATCCCTCCATACTGAGCTCAGAAAACTGAGAGAGAGGAGGGCTGGAGCCAGAGGGGATGGAGGGCACCAAGAAAACGAAGGCCTCTAAATCCAGGAGGGAAGCTCATACGAGCATGGAGACTGAGGCAGCATGCATGGGGCTCCTGTGCTCATGCATGGTCAGGGTGTTCTAAAGCACCAGTTTCTTCTGTTCACAAAACCGATAACAAGTATGATGACTAGAGAGTTAGGACTCCATTAATGCTTGAGAAGATGTAAATTCACGGGGTGGGGAGAAGGCTTAGATGGTAAAAGCACTGGATGCCAAGCCTGAGAACCTGAATTCAGGCCCCAAGACTGACATGGTAGAAGGAAAGAACTGACTCCAACAAGGTGTTATCTCATCCGTGCATGTGTGTGTGTGCGCGCGCACACACACACACACACACACACACACACGGGAGGGGTGTTCAAGGAAAATATCCAGGCTCAGCAGTACTTGAGAAGAGGAAGCAGGAAAATCAGGAGTTCTAGGCCAGCCTTGGTTTCATGAGAGTCTGTCTCAGAAAGTTAAATCTAAAAATAAGATGAAAAGTTACTTTTCCTTTCAGGTCAGTTATTCTTCTGCCTAGAAAATTTTTAGCCTTAAAATATGTTGATTTTTTAAAAAAATATAAACATGGAAAATTTTGTTATTAAAATGAATTTCAAAATTTTATTTAATAAAACCATTATTTCAAAACTATCCAAGACCAATCCCTAGAAAGTAAGAGTTATTCTTCCTGTTTTATCAATAAGAAACTGAGAACCACAGAAAGTTAGTGGCTAGTATAAGATTGCAAAGTTAGACAACAATAGAATTCGGATCAAGATTGCATGGTTGAATGAATCATCTATGCCAAAAAAAAAAGTATAAGATTTAAAAGGCAAGAAACAACAGTTGGGCATGATGGTGCAGACCTCTGACTTCTAGGACAGCCAGGCTACACAGAGAAACCTTATCACAAACAAACCAAACAAAACCAAGTACAAAACCAAACAAAAAATGTGAGAAACAGACAGCTGTTATTCTCATTAAGTCTAAGCTATCTACCCCATTATTGTTACTAATGTTCTTACTATCAAAACGGGACTCTAGTTTTAGTTAAATCACATTTAACTAAAAACTGTCTCTCTTGGTCCACCTTTTAAAATATTGTCTGTTTAAAGAGGTTGTCTAAGACATTTTGTTAAAAGGATTTATTTCCTTTCTGTAATCTGGCTGAGCATAGCCTTGAAAATCTATAGAATAAGTATTGAAGGACTGCCTAACTTTTAGTTGTGAAACTTTGACCAAGAATTCTTTCACGTTTATGTTTGAAGTACTAATACCTATCCAGGTTTTGTGAGAATAAATTAAACAATATAAAAAAAGGTTCATGGTGTTAGGTAAAGCACAAACATAAATAAAAGCTCGACACACTTTTGCAATACTCCAGTAAACCATGAGGACTGGTATTTTATTTTAGAGCACTAGAAAGATTACTGTGAGTTTTCCTTTTGGGAAAAAAAAATAGAGCAGAACATGACCTTCAGTGCTCCTTGGGAGGCTAAGGCAGGGGATCCTGAGTTAAATGTCAACCTGGGCTACATGGGAAGATTTTATCTCAAACAACATATCTTAATCCGTCTCTTAAAATGGGACTACAATGGTTTTGTTTACCAATGGTTGGGCTTTGCAAAATGTTATCTGTTCTATTTTTTTGTGATCAGTAAGGGTCAGACCCTAGTCTTTAGGTTGGTCAAGTAACATAACAGCGTGTGATGTGGGATGCATGGACACTTCCTGCATCTTGTCACAGTTATTCCTGTCCTAGTATTTGTGTCAAGATACACAGACACAAGTGCCTGTATCTCTTAGAAGGGAAATTCAAAGACACTTCGAAATATTTATTCAACCACAAAAGACACAACCTCTGAATTGCAGCTATGTGGGAGCTTACAAACCAGAAATGGAACATTTTAGACCAGTGTCATTCAAACCTATTTAACTTCAAACTTCACTCTTTGCTGTATTGCTCCATTTTGTTAGGTAGCCTACTTTTTTTTTAAAGTTTGTTTTACAAGACAAGACACCTTTGTAGATCAGTGGTTCAAACTCACCGTCCCACTCTCTCATCCTCTGGAGTTCTGGGATCACAGGTGTGTCACCATGCTTGGAAAGATGCAGTTGTTTTGAATCAAATCCTAAAATCTAGAGTGACCTTGCCTACTTGCATGAGAGAAATTACCTCATTCTTCCGAGTCGCCTTCCGGATGTCAAGGGAAGGCAATGCTCAGATTATGATCTGGAAAAACTAAGGAAGGCACCAACCTACCTGAAACACTTCTAATGCACCAGGTGTGGGCCAGGTGCTAGCTACAATTATTGTAAGAAAGAATTATGAGCATTTAGGTAGGAAATCAGAGGAATGAAGCCAGATTCTTAGTCTTTTTAAATCCTAGGCCGAGATGCTTTACTGACTCCACTTAAGGTAGTAAGCAGGCTGTCTTCAGGGAAAGTGGTCAAGACCAGTAGCATGCCCTTCAGCGACATCCTCGATTGCTCATTGATGGAGTATATTGTTCTCACTTTTATTCTTTGCAACTTGGCTATGGAAAAATGCAGTAAAAATGCAAACGTCCCCAGCATGAGTTTGGGAGTAAAAAAAAAAAAAGAAAGAAAGAAAGAAATATAAAAGGAGAGAAACGCTCAACCTCCTGAAGAAACACACCACAGAACTCACTGCCCCGCCCAGATGTTTATATTTTTCTCCTTGGCCCCGCCCCCGGACCACGAGAGAGACCTGGCCCCGCCCCCATGCCCAAGTTCCAGGTCCGGACTCGCCCAAATCTTCAGCTTGCCCGCAGGGATTCCCACACCAACCAATCGCGTCTGAGCCACGGGACCGCCAGGAATAAAGATGGCCGGAGTGGCCTCGACGAGGGCAGACTGATCTGAACGCCAGCCAGGCACCCGGCGGGACAGCGAAGGCAGAGTGTGGCAGCGGCGCGGTCGGGAGCATGGAGGAGGGCAGCGGCGGCGGCAGTGGTGGCAGCGACAGCACCACCGGCGGGAGTGGCGGGGCGCATCAGAGAGAGCTGGAACGCATGGCTGAAGTCCTGGTCACCGGGGAGCAGCTCCGGTAAGGAGAGGCGCCCGGTCGGTGGGCTCCAGGGTCGCACTGCTGGCGGTGCCCGCGGCGATCCGGAGAGCACGCGCGACCTGGCTTGTGGCAGGCGAGACACGCGGGCGCGGGGGGACCGTGGCGGGCGCGTGGGGTGGTTGGTTCGAGCCGCGCGAGTGCCTGGCGGCTGCAGCCCCGGGACGAGCAGCTCGGGGAAGACTGCAGGGACCGATGCCGGGAGCGCATGGTGCAGCCCGGGCTTCTGCAGCCCTGCGTCCCGCGGTCTCGCCACCACTCACTCGTGCGCGTGGTCTCCTTGCCAGGTTTCCCTGATGACAGCCTAGCCTGCTCGGTCCCAAACGGATTGGACCGGACCCCAGCCCCTGCACTTCCAGATGAAAGGCGCTCGCTCCGTGGTTGCCTTCAGTTCAGCTTTTCTTGCTAGCAAGGCGTGCTTCCCTTCCTTGAGTCTCAGTTTACTTCAGGGCGGATCTCTGCGTGTCCCTTGAAGGGCTGCTCTGCAGTTCATTTTGGAAAACCTTTTCGAGCCCTCTACCTATCCCTTAATTGGCACATCGTCAGTTGTCACTTGGGTCCGCAAGGGGGCGTGAAAGTACCTTGCTCAGGGCCCACGTTTGGGACCCTGGAGTTGGCCGATCGCCCCGCACTTTTCCTAGAATTATCACTTGCCCAATCTCAGAAATCCAGGAACAAGCCCTGACCTCCAGGGCTCCCTTGCCATTCCCATCGCTTCCTGTTCCTTTTTCTTGGGCATATACTTAAGGCTTGGGCTTCCGCAGCTGCCGGTATTATGGTCATAAATCCGAGTGCCAGTTAAAATGAATCCGGCTCTGCATCGTTTCTGCCAGAACTTGAAACACGAGCCCCTGGTCCCCAACCAGAAAGACGATGTGACTTGCACTAGTTCCCCCTAGTTCTTGGCGTGTTTTTTTTTTTTTTTTTTTTTTTTTTTTTTTTGTTTTGTTTTGTTTTGTTTTGTTTTTCCGGCTTATTTCGATTTCTAAATGGATATCAAGACTTGAAGGAGAATTTTGCCAAGGTCCTTGGAGGTCTGGTAAACCACTAGGCTTTGCAGGGCTCAGTTTGAGGAAGTAGGATGATAGTCTAGCGTGACAAAAGGAAAAATCACGCATTTTGGTTCCTTGTTGAAATTCAAGTGTGTGGCCGAATTAAAAGGGGATTTTCCTTCATCAAGAGTATTGTTTTAATTAAGAAGATGATATAAAGCTTTTCTGATTCAGTCTGATTGTCTTGATAGTTTAATGCTTTGCTGGTTACTGCATTGCTGTTTGAAAGGGCTTCTCTGGATGGGATTCCTTACTTTTCATTTCGTTTACAAACATTGTGTCCCCAAATCACTTTCTCCTTCAAGAGGCTGCACTTTAGCCCAGCAGTGCACCTTTATGTAGCCAAGTGTTACCATGCCTTTGTTTTTAGGAGGGCTTTGAGCATGCGTGAATATTGGCCTTGCCCTTTACTTAGCTAGAATAGGGCCTTGGACAAGTTATTTAGGTAAGAAGGCTGAGTAACAATGGAATTTACCTTGCAGTGTTAATTAGGAGGGATATGTAGAGGCTGTGCTCACACCAGTGTTGGTAGGGCTATGTGGAGTTAGTGCTTACACAAGTGTTGGTACACACCATGTGATTAGCCAGAGTAGACGAGCTCAGGCAAATGCATTTTCTTGTCTGAGCTATTTCTTCATCTGTAAAGTGGCCATGAAGATGAAAATATGTCATGGGGTGCTTTTGAGACTCTAACCCCTGACTTCCTGTGTTAGTGAGCAATCTGCAAGGGCTTGCCTGGATGAATGGGCGTTAGTGTTCTCTCTGCACCACCACTTTTGACTCTCAGGCTGGTAAGATATTTCCAGAAGGCCTGGATGGTTGTGAAGAGCACAGGATGTAACCACACACTGCCCCAGGGTTTCTTTCTTCTGCCTCCACCATGAGTTAACTCTGTGACTTTGGGACAATTAACTTAATCTCTTGCCTCAGACTCCTCTTTGTAGACAATTCTATTTGGGAAGGCCTGCAATGTCAGATCCAAATTTGAGTATTATTATGGTATGGACCTGCCATGCCAGTACTTGGGAAGTACAGAGGATTATAAATTTGAAGTTAGCCTGGCCTACGTAGGAAGGCTAGCAAGGCCCTGTCTTTAAAAAGCAAAAATCTGAGAAAGTATTGATCATTTAAAATTGACTTGGAAAATTCAATTTCACTTTTTATTGCAACTATTTTAGAGCAATTAAAGAAATCTTACCACGTATGGGGGGAGGTAGGGGTTATGTGTACCACTGTGCCAGTGTAGAGGTCAAAGAACAAATTTCAGGAGCCGTTTCTTCTGTGTTTTCGTAAGTTCCAGGATCAAATCCAGGTTGCCAGGAGTTCACAACCAGCCATCAATCAGGCCACCCACCCTGTGGCTCATGTCTGTAACCCAGCATTCTCCAGTCAGAGGCAGAAAGGATAGGCGTTCAACATCCTTGGATACTTAGTGAAGTTTGAGGCCAGCCTGGGTGAGCACGTGGGACCCAGTCTTGACACAACAACAACAGAACAAAGTTACATAATACTTAGGTTTAGTGATCAAAGTGGCCATATACCTGGTGTTCGTTCTAATTAATGGAGGGGCAGGTGTCTGGCCATCCTCACTGTCGATGGATTCTTCTGTTCCAAATGCCCTCATCTTGCATGATCCCTGGCATTTGGTGGCAGCCAGGCTTCCTGCCTCTGATTGCTGCACAGCCTCCACAGGTTACCCCTGCTTTATCTCTGTACTGTTCCGTTGCTTCTGGGTCATCACGGTGAGGAGCAGGTGATGAAAAGTGGGGAAATCTAAGAGTAGGGGGTGAAAGACGTTTCATTTCCAGCTTGATTTATGTTCAGACTTCTTTTCCATTTTCGGGAGACAGAGCCATCCTCCATAATACACAGCCCAGTCTGACCTAGAATTTATGACAGTCCTCCTGCCTCAGCCTCCCGAGTTCTGGGATTGTAGGCGGGCAGCTACCACACTTACCTTCTTTTCTGTTTTTGTAGTGAATTCTCTTGGGGCAAGCTAGTGAACCCCAGCAGCCCTTAGCATCCTTCCCTGCAGAATGGGGGTAATATCCCGCAACATCAGATGGTAGTGTTGGATAAAGTGGGATCCAACAAGGAAAGAGTTACACACAATAAAGCCATGAGTTGGGAAGAGTGTTGTGGTCATTGTGAGTTCCAGCTGTGGAGCTGGGGGCTGGCTACCCGGGGCTGACACTTTTTTGCAGTTGGTAGCATAAGGACAACAGAAGTCCCCACATACATACTCTGCTTTCTTTTCCAGTAGGGGCCTTTTCCTAATTCTCTTCCAGATGTTCCCTCATCTTAAAAGAATTTGCTTCCTTGTCCAGGTCTTTTTTTTTTTTTTTTTAAACTGTTTAAGAATTGTCTACATGTGCATAATATGTTTTGATCAAATCTAACCCCACTTGTGCCCTTCAGTGTTTCCATAGGGCCCTCACTTTTTTTTTTCTTCTCAATTTCAAGTTTTCTTTTTTAAACTGAGTGCACTTCATACTGTCAGCATTTACATGGGTGTAACTGAGTCTCCCTGCCCAGGCAGCCATAAATTGACAGTGATTCTGCAGCTGGTGTGTGTGTGTGTGTGCGTGCGTGCGTGCGTGCGTGTGTGCGTGTGCGTGTGTGTGTGTGTGTGTGTGTGTGTTTGCGCGCAAGTGCGTTTGTGCGCATGCGTGCCCCTCCCCCATCCTTGGTGGGGTTTTTAGGTGGCTTGAGCTTGTGTAGGGCTTGTTTAGCTGGAGCTGCTGTGATTCGGTGAGTGCCGTGGGCCTGCCTCCACTTTAAAAGACTCCACTGTAGCAGTCTTTATCTTCCTCTGGCTCTTACAGTCTTTCTGCCCTCTCTTCCTCCATGGTCCCTGAAACCTGGCAGCAGGTGGCGGATTATAGGTGTGGAATTTAGGGCTGAGCACGCCACAGTCTTATTCTCTGCATGCCGACCGGTTGTGAGTCTGTGTGTCGATCACCATCTACTACTGGGAGGCGCAGCACTGAGGGTTGAGAGATGCATTATGATATGGGTATTAAGGCAAGTCCTTAGTGCTTTAATCCCATGTCCCTTTGGGAGAATAGTAATACTGGGTTCTTCTACGGGGCTTACAGCCTACCCACTCTGTTCGCGGTCCAAGCACCAGGCTTGAGTTCTCTTGGTGGGTCGTCTTGCTCAGTTATTTTCCACATTTTTGCATCTTGAAGATGCACATGGAGCCAGGTGTGGTGATGTATGCCTACAAGTCCAGCACTTGAGAGGTGGAGATAGGAGACGATAATACAGTGACCAAGTACGTAATAGGAAAGGAGAGGGAAGAAGCTGACAGGACCAGAGAAAGCATGCTTAGAATGGAGGTAAAGAAAAGAAAAGGAAATGCCTTTCTGAGAAATTGGATAATCAGACAGTTGTAAAGCTGTATGGCTACACTCTGTGAGAGACAACGCTTTAAGAAAAGATGTTTTATTTTTAAGTGTGTGTGTGTGTGTGTGTGTGTGTGTGTGTGTGAGAGAGAGAGAGAGAGAGAGAGAGAGAGAGAGAGAGAGAGAGAGAGAGAGAGAAAGGTGACTGTGGATGCCAGAAGTGTTGAATGCTCCAAGAATGTGATTTAAAATGTTTTCTTTCTGAAGTGGGTACTGGGAACCAAACTTGGGTCCTCTGCAATAACATCAAGTACTCTTAAGCCCTGAGACATCTCCTTGCCCATGCTTAAAACTTTAGAATTGGCCAGAGACTGCAATAATACTTATCATGAATTAAGAAATGTGTTATTGTGACATGTGTTACTGACATGCTAGATGGTGGTTCACACATTCTCTACTGTCTTATTGATGTCAAAACAGAGACAAAGATGTCCAAGAAAAGCTCAGGATGCTTCTAATTTGAAGATAATCAGCCACATACAAATAATTCATATCAGTGGTATTTTATTCTATGAGTTTTCAC